CTTAGCCCCCTGTGAGATTTGAACTCACGACCCCTGGTTTACAAGACCAGTGCTCTAACCCCTGAGCTAAGGAGGCTGATATTTTTCATATCCATTTTCTGTATCTGTATCAATAAAGCCGGTATAATCGCCCTTCGGCGTAACACACCAGCTTCGCAGGCACGCGGCGCGGCGGCGCAAATTTCCGTCTCGTAAACGGTCGTCGCCTTTTCTCAGAACGGTCGTCACCTTTTCTCAGAACGGTCGTCACCTTTCCGAACGGTCGTCACCTTTTCTCAGCTCAGAACGGTCGTCGCCTTTCCGAACGGTCGTCGCCTTTTCTCAGAACGGTCGTCGCCTTTTCTCAGAACGGCCGTCGCCTTTCCGAACGGTCGTCACCTTTTCTCAGCTCAGAACGGTCGTCGCCTTTGGACATCCCTTTAGATGACGTCACCACGGAAAGCATCGTGGAGTCCTTCAGCTTTGCCAACCTGACATCTGCTTGGAAAACTTCCGGAAACCAACTCAAAACTTTCGCGGCAAGAAAAGGTGATGAACTACTCTGGGATTGGAATTTTTTAAAACTATAATCGCACTTTTGCGTAGCCTCTACCAGCCTTTAGAAGCGACTGAAAATGGAGAAAATTGGCCTAATAGGCAGATAACATGCCAGGAGAGTTAGCTTAGCCTCTATCAGGCTTCAGAGGCGACTAGAAAGGGTGGAAATTGACCAAAAAGACAGATAACATGCCAGGGGAGTTAGTCCGCTAGAGGAATATAAAATCCGTCAAACTGTACTGGTTTAGCGGGCAAACTCCTCAGGCTTGTTATCTGTCTATTCAGCCAATTACTGCTCTTTTCAGCCACTTCTGAAGCCTGGTAGAGGATAACTGTTATGGGTAGTTAGTAACGCTAGTTATTTCCTGTGGACTAAAACTTGAGGCAAAGCACAACTACTTCTTATGATTGTATGATTGTAGGTGTGTTTTTGATTGTAGGTGTAATTCTTATCAATGTAGATGTTTTTTTTTTTACGAATTTGGTGTGTTTTTGTATGATTGTAGGTGTATCTTTATGATTGTGTTTCTTTACGATTAATGTGCGTTTTTTAAATGATTATATGTGTGGTTGGTGACTGCAAGAACCACTTCTCAAAGTCTTGTGCCCTGCAGTTCCAGAACAAGCTGCTAGGGGGACAAAACTCACACCACTTATTTCGGACAAGAAAAGCTATCTGTCACCAAAAAGTCAAGACCATAGCATGTTCAGGACAAAAGATACCAAAACCGGAAGTTCTGCTGCAGTACCAAGGTCATCCACCAGGAGGCCCATATTTGACCTTGACCTTTGTCTTCCCAAGACGTACCAGCACACCAAATATCATCATAATCCATAAAGGCGTTATGAAGTTATGCTGACCACAAAGTTGCGGAAACACAGACAGACAGACAGACATGCAGACAGACACGCCAAAAACAATACCTCCATTTTTCATGGAGGTAAAAACCATTTGCAGACATCACAGCGTTTACATTTGAAATTGGAATGTAATAATGTAACAAATTACGTAAATAGACATATAAAACTGAATCTAAATTCAAAATCACAATCAATAATGACAATATACCAAATCCACAGTGTTACAGCGTATGACATCATGCTATAGTAAATGTTCTGATTTTTAAGCTCTAATTTGATCTGTAAATAAATTCATGCAACTGTACAATCCTTTAAGTCATAGCCTTTTGAGACTGACCAAGACATTTCTGTTCAAATATAAAAAGTGACATAAACTGTTCAAAGAGTAATAAACAATTGCAATGTACATGTACGTCTTTGTTTACCTTATTGGCACACATGTACTTGTATATAATGCAGTACATAATTATATGAAATAAAATAAGGTTTTAAGAAAACAAGTATTCTAAAGAGTTTCAGTTTTAAATTCCATACAAATATGTACATGTATTACAAATCTGTATCATGTATTTGTTAGAATTCTTTAGATGTGTAGTATTAGATAAAAAACGAAATTCAATAAACATAATAAATGTCAGCAATTATTTTCATAGACATTGATTAATTCATTATTAATTAATTCATTATTCATTACTTCATTTACTTCACTCCACACCATCTAATCATTAAAACAGTGCGTCATTACAATTTGCTTTACAAGGTAGAAATTTGTGGAACATTATTGCAAACCTGATAATTTAAGAAAACTTTAATTGGCCTACCTGTTGTTCAATTTCTGATCTCTTACATCCAAATTCCCTCCTTTTATATTCAAAACTGTTTTCTTCTTAGTTAAAAGAAACAACCTAAAACATAAATATTTTGAATACAAAGACCGCCTTTCAGGTCATCAAATTACTGGAGATAATGAAAATCAAACTGTTCTACATCTCAAGAAAAATGACTCACCAGACAGTTACTACTAAATTAAAAACTACTAAACACTTTGGGACTTTGTGCAGATTTATGTCCAAATGAGCCACTGGGATAAACTTTTCGATCTTACATCCAAATTTCATCCAAGGGTCTTCTGAAGTTTTGAGACAATTGTCTGCAGTGGCGATGAGAGCTCAGTCAGTCGTGGAGGGAGTCATGCTGCAAGATAAATGAAAAAACACGTGAATGTCTGCAACATATTTTTTTCTTTGTAAGGTCATATTGATTTGTTTGAATAGTTTCATCAGGTTGGTAAGACACTGAGTAAAGAGACTCTTTTTACACAACCAATTTTTTTATTCAGCCGACGTTTCGGTGACCGTCTGTCACCTTCCTCAGGGCAATTCTGACTGGATCACTTGTACATTTGTGATCTGTGATCAAAGAAGCCACGTGACAAGCTTCACTGGGTCATTCTACTGAGGAAGACCAGAGTGACTGGTCGAAAGCTCTAGGTGAGAGAATTTTTTTTGTTTTGGAACAAAAGTTTTAACTTTTGTGATCTATGTTTGCATCTGTAGCTAGCAGCGACACCTGTGCTGCAGTGCAATGTGAACCAGTCAGAATTGCCTGAGGAAGGTGACAGACGGTCACCGAAACGTCGGCTGAATAAAAAACTTGTGAAAGATTCTCTTTACTCAAATAGAATTTATTGTGTGAAGTACCTAGATTGTGCTCGCAGAAGAAGGGTCGTTTCATGTTGCATGGGGCGCTCCACCACTTTCCATCAGGGAAGCTAGCAATGACGCAGAAATGCCTCCTGTTAGGTTGTCCAGGGCCCCAGGCATTGTACTTCCCAAGCCCAGCCCAATCCGAATACACAAACTTTCCTAATCCATTATGATAGCGCATATAGCGCAGGCCGATCCAGTAAAAATGAGTTGTGCCCTTATCTTTTTGGACGCCTTTATTTTTATAGAAGAATGATATCGTTAAGGTGTTTGTGGCATTTTTGTCTCGGGGCATGGCCAGGATGCCAGAGCCTCCAGTATCTTTGCTACAGGTCTCCATAGCTTCGCTGAAGGTTTTTGGGTGTGGTAAAGTGTTTGTAACACTTTACACGCCATCTAAAATAACCATCATATGGACAGGTCACTGGACAAAACGAAAAAAAAAAACAAATAAGCGTGTTAGTATGTGAGTGATTTTTCTAGTCGTTATATATTCATGTCTTTAAGATGAAGCAAATGCATAATGTTGACCTTCACATGCTCTAGCCGTACAAAATACTACCCTGTTTATTCTTACTCAAACACATCTAATGTATATATGGTAACATCGATCATCCAATACTACAGGGTGTCTGCTACAACACTGGTTACCATGGTGACAGACCTCCTGTCCAGGTCATTAACCTTATGCGTTTTTGGAACGGAAGAGGAAACTGAGCAAAAACAAACTAAATATGTTTTCCTTCTGGGAATGGGAAAACGTCTTGACCCAAAGGTATATGTAATTACCGTTTCTGGATGTCTGGATGATAGGCCCAGGGCAAGCCTGCCCTATGGGGCCCTTTTCACCAGGTGGGCCAGGGGGCCCAACAGAGCAAGAGCCAGCTAGCCCCATGGCCCCCTTTTCTCCAGGAGGGCCAGGAGGCCCGATAGGCCCAGGCCAAGCGGGCCCTATGGGCCCCTTTTCTCCAGGAGGGCCAGCGGGCCCCATGGCCCCTTTTTCACCTGGGGGGCCAGGAGGTCCAACAGACCAAGAGCCAGTTAGCCCCATGGCTCCCTTTTCTCCTGGAGGGCCAGCGGGCCCCGTGGCTCCCTTTTCTCCTGAAGGCCCCACGGACCCCTTTTCTCCCGGAGGGCCAGATGGCCCCATGGGCCCCTTTACACCAGGCCCAACAGGCCCAGGGCCAGCTGGCTCTATCGGCCCCATATTTGCTTGGGGTCCACGAGGCCCGACAGACACAGGGCCGACTGGCCCCCTGGCCCCCTTTTCTCCTGGAGGGCCGGCTGGCCCCGTGGTTCCCTTTTCGCCAGGAGGACCAATAGAGCAAGGGCAAGCGAGGCCTTTCGGTCCCATATTTGCTGGAGGTCCGCGGGGCCCAACTGGCCCCTTGGCCCCCTTTTCTCCTGAAGGGCCAGCCGGCCCTATTGGTCCCATTTCTCCCGGAGGGCCCGGAAGTCCATTCGCTCCTGAAAGACGTAAAAGAATAATTTTATTTTCATGACAAAGATTCCAGGAGCTCATAGAATTTCCCCAAATTTTAGTAATGGATACAATTGATAGCAAAGGAAAAAAAGACTTAATAAATAATCCTGAAATGATTGTTACGTTCTTTTACTTACGGATTAGCTCAGCTAGACGCAGTTCAGTCTTCCCAGTCTTCCTGTTCAGCTTGAAAATCTCTTCATAGTTCATGGTGCTTATCACTGTTAAAAAAGAACCGGGTACAATTTTATAAGCATCATAAGAAAGACATCGCCCTCGCATGGCATGCTCCAGCGTCCGCCATGAGAGACATGCTGGTACTGGAGTGACTTAATCTGCAGATTATATATGATTTATATTGAAATTTGATCACATGAAAATCTAGTAGCAGACCATCCATCTTTTATAAAACCATTAGGTCCAAACAAATCTATTGCTAGTAGATATGGTGGGTGGTGTACGTATATATACGGCACCAAAAAATTCTACTATCTACAATGTCCAGGACAAAAACCAATGCAGTACCAATGTGAATTACCAGGAGGCTCAAATGTCACATTGACCTTTGTCTTTACAAGACCTACCCAAGACCTACCACCAGATATCATAACTAGTTACAAAGGTCTTCTTAAGTTAATTTGATCACAATCATGTGAAAACACAGACACAAACAAGACTGGCAATAAAAACATACATTGCCATGGCGACGGTGGTTGCTGTTAGGGTTATTGTTTGCATGGCATTGCCATCATTTAATGATTTTGAGGAAACCTTGGTACCTGTTAAGTCTAGACAGATACAGTGCACTCCTCCCCTGAGTGTATAGTGAATGAGCCCCGGGGTCACAGAAAGTAGGGCATCCGGGGCAGAATTCTTAGAAACTGCACACAATACTGTACCATTAGGCTCCTCCCTGAGACGTCGCCAAAAAATACCTCCGTTTTCCATTCAGGCAATAAAACACATTATCCATAAAGTGATAACTAACCTGCTAAATATGGCAGCATAATGGCATTGACCACGACAAACACGACCATGGTGATTTGCCACATCTTCTTGCACAGGCCACAGCATTTCTTCCACACGTTGTTAGCTTCTTCATCGTAAGTCGCGTCTGATTGAAGAAGCACGTTTGAGTTAACTAATTTTTATGTCCAATAACGTCTGAACGCCTTGCACTAGGACCACTAAACTTTTTGGTGCTAGTCCTGTCCTTTGCCCCTAAAAGTCCTGTCCTTTATCTATCTGGTTCTGTCCTTGGTACTTAAGATACTATCTGGTCCTGTCCTTGGTACTAAATTATCTAGTTCGGTCCTGGGTACTAAAATGGCTTCCTGGTTCTGTACTTAGTACTTAGTACTAAAAGGTCTATCTGGTCCTGTCATTCATACTAAAAGACTATATGGCCCTGTCGATGGTGCTAAAAATTCTATCTTGTCCTGTCCTTGGTATTGGAAGGCCTATCTGGTCCTGTCAATGGCACTAAAAGTCTATCTGGTCATGTCCTTGGTCATGTTATTGGTACGTAACAGTCTATCTGGTCCAGTACTTCGTACTAAAAATTATATTTGGTCCAGTCTTTCGTGCTAAAAAGTCTATCTGGTCCTGTCCCTGGTGTTAGAATGTCTATGCGAAGCGATAGCGAAGAAAAGACCCCATAGTCTTACCTGCTCTGGAGGCGTACAAAGTGTTGGGTATATTCGCACCGGCGTCCGCAAGTGACCTCCAATCTGTCTGCTCCGGCTGCGTGGGTGTCGTACCTAAATAAACATTACAATAGTTAACTACGTGTCTTTTAATAATCATATCCATCATATTTTAACTACCTTAACTATGAAAAAAAATTAACGGCTCTCAGTGGCCAATGTGCAGATGTTGTCACATCGGCGCACCAAATCCGTAGTGTGTTTTTGGCACACAGTTAGACAGATTAGCCTAAGAGGGTCGGTGGGCGTCACTCCACCGTATAGGTGAGGAAGTCGTGTAAAGTGCCTTTCCCAAGGGCACAACGTCGGGCCACGGTGAGTATCGAACTCGGGGCCTCTTGGTTCCGAGTCCAACGCTCTAACCGTTGCGCCACCGACCGCCACTTTAACTATGACAAGGTGACTAAAGCAGAAGCCACATTACATAATGATGACACAAATAAAAGGTTCTATGTTACATCATCGTTCAAATTACCCCAGCCCGTGAGATCCTTCAATTCCTAGCTCATTGAATATACATGTACAAAAAAATCTCGAAATAAATCTCCATTCATTTTGCATCTCGTAATTAAAAAAAACTTTTAAAACTAATTAAAAGTGTTTGTTTACAACTTTGAGTTTTTTATTGAATTGACCCCAAAATGAACAAACAATCAAAATAGAGCGACAAAAAATTTGCAAGACACCAAAGAAATTTCCACTTCAGTCTACTTGGGGAAAGGGGCAACATTTAAACACCGATAGGGGCTGTAACCGACAATAATGTGCATTGTGTACCGACGAAAAGACACTATAGTTTTATCTGCACTGTTATACAGAGTGTTGGGTATATTTGCAGCTTACATAATACGCCACCAAAACTGACTGCCATGCATATGTACAATGTCCAGGACAAACACGAAGGGTCTTGCCCTTGGTACTAGAACGTCTATCTAGTCATGGCATTCAGAACTAAGAAGTCTATCTAGTCATGTCCTTGGTACTAAAAGGCTTTCTGGTCCTGTACTTAGTATTAGAAATTCTATCTGGTACTGTCACTGGTACTAAAAGTGTAACAGTTTGGTGTGACAATGGTGTGCATTGTGTACCGACAAAAAGACCCTAAAGTCTTACCTCCCCTGTTATACAGAGTGTTGGGTATGTTCGCACCGGCGTCCGCAAGTGACCTCCAATCTGTCTGCTCTGACTGCGTAGGTGCAGCACCTAAAGAAACATTACAATATATTTAAGTATTTTAACAATAATATATTTCATAGAGTATCTTAACTATATTACTATGACCAGAAGACATATTACGTAATGATGACACCAAAATAAAAGGTTTTATGCCAAACCATCGTTGAAATTACCCCACGATGAATGATTATGATTTATTCATAGAACTTGGTAAGCAACCCAACACGATAATAGTAACCGGAACTCCAAGAAAGAAATTTTAAGCATCAACCTAAAATCTGGGATACGTTCAAGGAAAAATCAAGATGAATTGACTTTTTTTAGACATTTTGATACTTAGGTTATTGGTATTTTAGTTTTTTGAATGAATATTGCAAAGAGCTTTATTTACAATATATATGAACCAGCCCAGACCGCCGTCTTAATGTAAAATGGTCAGACGAAAACACACAAATGACAACCACAACATAAAAACGTTGCAAAAATCAACCCAGAATGGAAGAGGAATTCTTTATTCAATACAGTGAATCCAGAGGGTAGAAACTGAAAAAAAGTGTCGATTTTTGTGTGGTCGTGTGTAGAGTGCTCGAGTCGGAACCAAGAGGTCCTGGGTTCGAGTCCTGACATGCCACCGATCTTGCGCCCTTGGGAAAGGCACTTTACACGACTTTCCTTACCTAACTCAAGTGAAAATTAGTATTGCCTTGTCCTGTATTCGTCCTCTGCGTTGGTGGCGACATAAGATAAGTTGATATAACTTGAATGTGCCGTAACCAAGTCATGAAATGTTGGAACATAAAACAAATTAAATCATCGTACCTGTAGTTCCAGTCTGGGCTTGCTGCTGCTGTCCGCCTTTCGGCCGATCTCGGCATGATGTTACTGGTCAGGTTTCTGAACAGCAAAACGCGTCCTACACCAGACAAAACGCGCCCTAAACAAGACAAAACGCGACCTACGCCAGACAAGTAGCGTTCTACACCAGACAAGTCGCGTCCTATACCAGGCAAAAACGCACCCTACACCAGACAAAACGCGACCTAAACAAGACAAAACGCGCCCCGCACCAGTCAAAATGCCCTCTGTACCAGGCAAAACGCGCCCTGCACAAGAAAATACGTTTGTCGAAAACGCGCCCTAAATCAGACAAAACGCGCCCTAAATCAGACAAAACGCGCCCTAAATCAGACAAAAACGACGCCCTAAATCAGACAAAACGTGCCCTATACGCCTTACAAAATGCGCCCTACACAAGATACGCCACACCCTTCACCAGACAAGACGAACCCTATACCAAACAAAACGCGAAAAAAAGACAAGACGTTTGTCGATTTACGCCTGACTCAATACCCAAAGCACCTCTGATTACTGAAACCAACAGAAAAGGCTGCAAATAATTCGAGCGAGACAAATTATATGAACTTTCATCACTTCGACGACGTAATATTGAAACATTCTGACTAATGCATGATTTTTCTGAGAAATCTACGAGTTATTTACGCAAAAGCTGTATTGTGTGCATTTATGTATGCAAATGATCGATATAAACAACATTACAATAGTAAGAATTTAAACTTATCTTTGGATAAAGTCAATACTAAGCACATCTACTTGTTTTTAAACAGGGCCCAGAACTTTCAGAGCTAAGAACCCTAACCGCCAAGACCACCTTGCTCTTAACTTATCAATTTGGGGACCGAATTTCTTGCAATGTGATTTGTTGTGAATTGTGATGCAAGAGTACAGGTTTTCACCTTTGACCTGGCACGTACACGTATGCAAATATTAAACCGTCATTTACAGCATACCATGATGATAGTTATGAAGTTTGATCTTGGTTCCATCTAATACAAAAAGAGGAACTCGCCATAAGTTTTCGGTGGATCTCGTCGACCTAGTCAGATGTATGATCCACTCTCTGACTCTCCGGAAGTCAGAAATAGTCTCCACCAGACTCCTTTTGCAGGCTGAATAATCGTAGAAATCGGTCTAAAAATGGTATTAATAGGCCTGCAAAAGGATTACGATTTATTCAGTCTGCAAAAGGAGTCTGGTGGAGACTATTTCCGACTTCCGGAGAGTCAGAGAGTGGATCACACATCTGAAGAGGGTTGAAAAAATCAACTGAAAATTTATGGTGAGTTCCCCTTTTTGTATTGGATGGAACCAAGCAAAAAAGATCAAACTTTATAACAATGATCATGATATGTTGTAAAATACGGTTTAATATTTGCATACGTGTACGTGTCAGGTCAAAGGTGACTAGACCCGTACTCTTGCATCACAATTACGAAGAAATTCGGTCCCAAAATCGATAAATTCAGAGCAAGGTGGTTTTCTGGTTAGGGTTCTTAGCTCTGAAAGTTCTGGGCCCTATTTAAAAATAACTGGATGTGTTAAATACTGACTTTATCCCAAGATAAGTTTAAATTCTTACTATTGTAATGTTGTTTATATCCAGCATTTGCATGCATAAATGCACACAATACAGCTTTTGCGTAAATAGCAGTGAGAATTGGATCTCAGAAATTGTATACATCAAAAAGCATGTTTCAGTATTGCATCACCGAAGTGATCAAATTTCATATAATTTGTCTCGCTCGAATTATTTGCAGCCTTTTCTGTTGGTTTCAGCAATCAGAGGTGCTTTGCGTATTGAGGCAGGCGTAAATCGACTAACGTCTTGTCCTTTTTTCGCGTTTTGTTTGGTATAGGGCAAGCTTTTTCAGGAGTAGGTCGCGCTTTGTCTTGTTTAGGGCGCGTTTTGTCTGGTATACGTTAGTCTCTACCAGACTAACTACGCTGGCTATATATAGGAGAATATTTGCCGGGGGAGTTTGACCGCCTTGTAGGTTTGACTGGCCACGCGGAGGGAAACAAACTACCTCCCCGTGGCCGGACTCCCTTGGCCAATTTTACTCTCTTTTTTGCCGAATTCTACGATCCGTATTCCCGTAGAAAGGCCTTTTGGAGACTAGGTATACGTCGCGTTTTGTCTGGTGTAGGGCTCGACTTGTCTGGTATAGGGCACGTTTTGACAGATGTAGTGCGCGGTTTGTCCGGTGTTGGACGTGTTTTGTCTGGTTTAGTTCGCGCTTTCTGGTTTAGGACGCGTTTTGCTGTTCAAAACCCTGAACATCATGTCGAGCTCGACCGGCAGGCAGCAGCAGCCCCAGACTGGAACTACAGGAGGTACGATGATTTAAATTTGACAGTTTTTTGAGTTTCAACCCTCCCTGCATTTGATCAGAAATTTTCCCTGCCCATTATGGGTCGATTAGTACGACCCTTTTTTGGTCATTTTTGTGTTTTCGTCTTAAAAATTACTTTGAATTGTTAACTATTGTAATGTTTCTGTAGGTGCCACACCCACACAGCCAGAGCAGACTGATTGGAGGTCACTTGCGGACGCCGGTGCGAATATAGCCAACACTCTGTATAGCAGGGGAGGTAAGACTTTGGGGTCTTTTTGTCGGTACACAATGCACACCATTGTCACACCAAACTGTTACACTTTTAGTACCAATGACAGTACCAGATAGGCTTTTTAGTACTAAGTACAGGATCAGAAAGCCTTTTTAGTACCAAGGACAGGACTAGGTAGACTTCGTAATTCTAACGGCCATGACTAGATATAGACTTTCTAGTTACTCTCCAAGCAGAGGTTGATGGTGGAAGGTCGTTTGCGTTTACATCTGGCCCTTTTTTGGGTGGGGAAATGGTTACAGACTGGCCAATTTGATACTGTCTTACCCCCACCAAAAGATCTGCTTGGAGATTATTTCTAGTACTAAGGGCAAGACCCTTCGTGTTTGTCCTGGACATTGTACATATGCATGGCAGTCAGTTTTGGTGGCGTATTATATAAGCTGCAAATATACCCAACACTCTGTATAACAGTGCAGATAAAACTATAGAGTCTTTTTGTTGGTACACAATGCACACCATTATATTGTTGGCTACAGCCCCTATCAACATCGGTGTTTAAATGTTGCCCTTTTTCCCAAGTAGACGTCGGGGGAATTTATTTGGTGTCTTGAACTTTTTTTGTCGCTCTCTTTTGATTGTATTCATTTTGGGGTAAATTCAATGAAAAATCTCAAAATTGTAAACAAACACTATTTTAGTTCCGAGATGCAGAAATATATGTAAATTTATTTCGGGATTTCAGAATATTCAATGAGCTAGGAATGAAGGATTTTCCACGGGGGGGGGGAGGTTGAATAATGGTGTAACATAGAACCTTTTATCCGTGTCATCATTATGTAATGTGGCTTCTGCTTTAGTCACCTTGTCATAGTTAAGGTGGCCGTCGGTGGCGCAACGGTTAGAGCGTTGGACTCGGAACCAAGAGGCCCCGAGTTCGATACTCACCGTGGCCCGACGTTGTGCCCTTGGGAAAGGCACTTTACACGACTTCCCCACCATGTACGGTGGAGTGACGCCCACCGAGCCTCTTAGGCTAATCTGTCTGTCTGTGTGCCAAAAACACCTTACGGATTTGGTGCGCCGATGTGACAACATCTGCACATTGGCCACTGAGAGCCGTTAATTTTTTTTTTCATAGTTAAGGTAGTTAAGACATGATGGATATGATTATTAATATACACGTAGTTAACTATTGTAATATGTTTATTTAGGTACTACACCCACGCAGCCGGAGCAGACAGATTGGAGGTCACTTGCGGACGCCGGTGCGAATATACCCAACACTTTGTACGCCTCCAGAGCAGGTAAGGCTTTACTACTAAAGGTTATTTTCGTCGCTAACGCTACGTATAGACCTAGGACAGGATCACATAGACTTTTAGTACCAAGGACAGGACTAGATAGACTTTTAGTACCAAGGGCAGGACCAGGTAGACTTTTAGTACCAAGTACAGGTCTTTTAGTACCAAGGTAGACTCTTTTAGTACCAGGTAGACTTTTTTTAGTACCAAAGACAGGGCCAGATAGACTTTTTTCAAGGACAGGACTAGATAGACCTAAACATTAGTTTAGAAAATTGTGGCATTTAGATTATTAATTGGTATCTTTGATAATTAATTTGTATCTTTCAAATATGTAATCGTACCTTTTTATATATGCATTGCGTCTTTTAAATATGTATTCCATCTTTTAAATATGTATTGTCACCTGTTCGCAGTTTGTAAACTTTTAGAGCGATTGTTTATGTCAACTTGTGAAATTTTTATATGTACATGAACTCGCAATTCAGCTCATAAGCTGCGATGAGTTTGTATTCGCACAATAAACCATTCAATATACAGGACCAGATAGACTTTTAGTACCAAGGACAGGACCAGATAGACTTTTTGTACCAAGGACAGGACTAGATAGACCTTTTAGCACAAAGGTAAGGACCAGATAGACCTTTTAGCACCAAGGAAAGGACCAGATAGACTTTTAGTACCAAGGGCAGGACTAGATAGACATTTCAGTACCAAGGACAGGACCAGATAAACTTTTTAGTACAAGGACAGGACAAGATAGACTTTTCAGTACCAAGGACAGGACGAGATAGACTTTTAGTACCAAGGATAGTACCAGATAGACTTTTCAGTACCAAGGACAGGACCAGATAGACTTTTTAGTACAAAGGACAGAACTTTGTAGTGCAAAGGACAGGACCAGATAGACAAATGACAGGACTTTTTAGCACCAAGGACAGGGCCAGATAGACATTTTAGTACCAAGGACAGGGCCAGATAGACATTTTAGTACCAAGGACAGGGCCAGATAGACATTTTAGTACCAAGGGCAGGGCCAGATAGACTTTTAGTACCAAGGATAGGATTAGATAGACTTTTAGTACCAAGCGAAGGACCAGGTAGACTTTTTTTAGTACCAAAGACAGGACCAGATAGACTTTTTGTACCAAGGACAGGACTAGATAGACCTTTTAGCACAAAGGTAAGGACCAGATAGACCTTTTAGCACCAAGGAAAGGACCAGATAGACTTTTAGTACCAAGGACAGGACTAGATAGACATTTCAGTACCAAGGACAAGACAAGGCAGACTTTTAGTACCAAGGAAAGGATCA